GAGAGCTGTCATTAGGTTCTATGGTCTTTGAGTCAGTGGTAATGCCTTATTTCTATAATCAAGATTAATTGGCTCTTAAAAATAAAACTGTTCTTTATGTAGCAGGTATCTGGGGACAGGGTTTTTCAAATTCTATCCCAGCAGCTGTTAACACCTGGTCTATGACAGCCTTTTCAGAATTCCACTTTGTCAGATGGCAATGAGAAACTGGCAGCCATTCTTCTGACATGCCCAGAATGCCTGACATGACAGGGGGTATTCAGGTCAGGACTGAAGTGTACTTGTTAGCAGATCTTAGAGAGGCAGCTTTTATAGTTGCTTCAGGTAACATGTCAGGTTTAAATCAACGTCATTTTCTCTTATTGTTTATGAATGCAAAATGAAACGGCAGACAAAATTTGTCATCACAACTTTTTAATTCATCCTGTAGCTTCATTTTCAACTAATCATATTCCTTTATTTTTCATATTATTTGGGGTTTAAAGTTCACCAGGACCAAGAAGTGGCACACACAATGATGGAAGTTTTTCATCACTGTACCAAAGCACTTCAGATTATTGCAAAATTATAAAAGGAGAAATGTGGCCAAATATTGGCATTTGTAATTATTTTGTACCCCACTATTTGCAATTTTTCTTTCTCAAGGACAATGTAAACAGATAGAGGCTATAGCAGTAATTATGATGGAATGAGAATCACAGAAAAATGGATCAACAAGAGTGATGGTAAAGAAAACAGATCAAACTGTACTCAGGGTTCCAGAAAGAAAAATGAAAGAAGGTCTCAGAAACTATAACTCAGACATAAACTTCAAAGCACATGGTTTTAGGAATATGACAGACCACCAAATTCATTTATCCATTATAAAGCATTCTTATACAGTATAATGAAATCAGGAACATACGTTTAAAGGAAGTAGTTATCAGGGGAAATTTTGATTTCTCTCACGTACATTGTGAAAAAAACAAAGCAAGTGTCAGCAGTTTAAAATTAAATGGCAGATATGGCTGCTTTGATACTCATTTTGTCAAATCATCTGCTAGAAGGAATGTCTGTATTGATCTAGTCTTTTCAAATGATGAAGAGAGGGTTCAGGGAAATGAAAAAGAAATGACTATTAAATAACTGTAACAATATAGCATGCTTTGAGGTAAATTTAGAAACTGCAAAAGAAAAACTATTTCAGGATTGCAGATTATGAAAGGTTAGAAACTTTTTACAAGAAAGTGAATGTGATCAGATAGATATGGAATCAACAGAGAAAGGATGGCAGGAGTTTAAAGATATTATGCTTGAAGCACAGAACTGGTTTATCCCAGGAGTATGTAAACAAAGCCAAGAAAACAGTGAACTGAATTGTTAAATAAATGAAATAATAAAAGTACAAAAGATAAATATATATATTTTTAAGAAATGGACCTATTTAAAGAAAAAGAATATAACGAACTGCAAGCACTGGTTACACAGGAAGTGAGGAATGTCAAATGAGAGACATAAAAGAATATTGCAATGGAGCTAAAAGAAATAATGCAATGTTTTCAGCATTGCAACAGCAGACGAACATAAAAGAGAAGGGTCTCAGAGGTAATAATTGGAAACTCTTAGATGATGGAAGTGAGTATTTCACCCATGTGTTTACAAATGAAGGAACTGATTGAGATTGAGGACTTTCAGCAGCCACTAGACAGGGGTCTGAGTGTGAAACTGATAATGAAGAACCCATCCATAAAAAAGTGATCAAGTTATCATAGACCAATAAGTCTCACATCTGCTACACATACAAATATGGAAAAGATATTTAGATCTAAACTGTAGGAACATTATAAATATGATCCTGAGAGACATAGATTTAAGAAAAGATGTTTGAGTACTTTGAACACAACAACAGTAATGGGAACAAACAAAACATACATTAGGGTTCTTTTAAATTTTCAGACAGCTTTGATAAAGTCCCTTATATATGATTTATTCTTATTTTGCATCAGTAGGTATTCACACAGTATTCAAGATAATGTGTGCTTCTCAGTTGGGAACTGGTAAGTGGGTGGAAAACAAAGAGTGCAAAAAAGATTTGGGTGAAGTATTTTCAGGTATCTTTGTTAAGAACACTAAATTCTGATTTAAATTGAGCAATTTCATGAATTATACCAAAATTGAGGATAAACAAACACTGTTAAGAAGCTGCAAAGAAAATTTAGAAAGGTTTTGACAAAAATCAAATCAACTGGGCAAAGAACTGGCAAAACATTTAATGTTGATAAGATCAGAATGTTACAGGAAGTATAAATCTAAATCTAAATACAGGAAACACAAAGAAAATGATTATATTGAAAATGTTGACAGATCATATACATTTTTGACGATGCAGTGAGGCACTAAAAAACAAACAGTGCTAGGATATACAGTATAGTGAAGTTGTACTTTACACTAGTTAGACCTCATTTAGAAAATTGTGTACCATTTTGGTCTCCACTTTATAAAATAGACTTTGGTACTCTGAAATAAGTCCCTATATGAGTGAGCACATACATTTCTGCACTTAAAGGAATGTCCTACTGTATATTAACAGGCTAATATAACTAAACATTTTAGCCCTGAAGAGAGAAGATTATTAGGGATGTCGTTCCTGTATTTGAAATTCAAAGATATAGACAAAGTCAACACAATGCACTTCTCCAGAATCAATGTTGACCAGACGAAACTATGTGCAAATGCATGTTAAACTGGGAAAAATCACTTTTTTACACAAGAGCATTGTATGAATTTGGGACAAGCTACTATCAGCAATGTTAAAGTTGATAACCTAGAAATGGATGGATAAGATCCCCATCCTTATCTTTAGATACTAATAACCAAACTATGGTTTGTTTGGGTTGAAGAGCCACTTGTAATTTATAACTTTTCTTAAGCACAAAATGTATTATATAAATTAAGTAGTTTGTTTACCACCATAGCTAGTTTTCAGTTTTTAACTTTCTCATATTAAACTTAATCAGTTTTTAATCCATATCTATTTACAAGTATGTAATGTACACCAAAGCACTATCTATAATATTAATAAAAATGGAAAAAAGGGGAAAAGATAAATATGGATGTCTGGAAGATAGCTCTCTTATATTAGTGTCAATGACTCATCTGATTAAACGCTACCAGAGATCTATAAGCTGCTGTCTTCTGAAGTGTAGAGACTCCATCGTCAATAACACAGCTATAACTGACAGTGTTTTCTCCAGAGGTTTACTTTGTGCTGACAGATTCTGGGAAAAGGTGTTGTGTTTTAATCTTGTGAAGCACTGTGCTTCTGAGGCACTTGGAGGCAAGAGATTGAGAGACCCAAATACCAGCCCTTATGTCAAGAAACTAAACTTGACATAACTCTACCCGAGCTTGAAGATAAGTGGGTAACTCCTGCAGAATTTGGTTATACCATATCCACTGGTAACCATTAAAAGGAGCATTACATGAAAATAACATTGCATTGGATACCTATATTTCTTGCACTTAAATGATGCTGATGAGCAATGTACCACTCAATGTAACCTCAGTCCTGCACTTTTTAAAATAAACACTGCACCTGAAAACTCCCAAGTACATTTTAAAATTTATTGATCAAACAGCTTATACAAAAATTATTTTCTTTGAACCAAATCCTTACCAAATTACTGCATGACAAAGTGGTTACATCATTACAGTTCTTTCCTATATATTAATATTATGCAGAAAACCTAATATTTTAGTAAAGAAAATAAAAGAATCCACACACATTTTGTCCAGCTTTATTTTTTTCTTTTTAAAAAACATAATTAATTGTCATTAGTGGGTATTTCAAACTTTAGAAAAAAATAACTTATTAAATAATAGTATAATGCTTTGATCTTTAAAGGTTCATGACTGTGTTGATCAATCATTCATCATTTGAAGATTGTCATGAGCTGTTTTACAGAAGGCTGGTAATTGCTGTTGTGAGTTGTTAATACAGTTAATTCCCTTATCATGCAAACCTAAGAATTAACGTATTGTCCATAGATGATTTTAACGTATTGTCTATAGGAACACATGAAGTTATTAGGCACTTTTTCAAAGGGTTGCCTTGGCTTGGACCCAATGGAAATCCATTTTTTACAAACTGGCAGTATTGTTTGGGTGGTTTCTGGACAGAATGATGGAGTGTTAAAGTCAAGGTTGTGGTAATTATTTTTTCATGAGAGAAAGCACTTCTGGCACCATGCCTGATAGCAACAATCTTCTTCTGTGGTTTAGCATTATGCAATTTAGGAAGTAAATTAGTAATGTACTAATAATTTTGAAAAAAAAGTCAAGAGCTTTTTTCTCACCTTTTTGTTTATGCAATATACAGTAGTTGACATGTACAACAAGTCCACATACTATATGTTGTAACACAATAATTAGTAAGTATATGTTAGAGGAAAATATAATCTCCAAACAGAGATTGGAGCTTAAGGTTGTAAAATGTAAAACTTGCTGATAAAGTTTTAAATGATGTATCACAATTTGGCAACAACCATCACAAATTATTTAGTTTTATACCTTTGAAGAAGGATATTATGTAGAACTATCTTTTATTTTTAATGTCCTTGTTATGCTTTTATTCATGTTTCATTATTTTTGCATTCATCACATCACAAACCTCACTCCTAATGCAATTGTAATATAAATTGAATAGAAGTTCCCCCTATGTTTGCCTGGAAGAAAACTAAAAGAATAATCACAATAAAGACATATGCAGTGCAATAAAATCATTGGAATATGAAAATATATTGAAATGCTCACAATAATGAACAAATAGCAAAAACAAATCAGCTAATTGATTGTTTTCAGTACCTCTAACTCTTCAAATTGTGTTTGTAGAACCAAGGTGTAATTTTAGTTTAGTGGATGTAGTCATTTCCAAATCAGGGTAGTTCTCCAGTCCAACATATTCATGGAATTAAGTCCAAAGCTCACAGTTGTTTACAACCTTTCTCCATCTGTATTCTCAGGATGTGCCTTTCTAACATACTGTGCCAGAGAGTCTGCACTGAAAGCTCAGAGTGCTTTGCATGAGCAGAAGACTCTGCCAGGGGTAAGTGATTTGATTCTTTCATGTCTTTCATCTGGCTGAACTGATCCCAGCAACAATCTGATTGTTTGCTTCTACAGTAACAAATTATATATCTATGGGGTTTCTTTCTCATTTGTTTGCTGTAATTCAGGTAACAACCTTTATATTTCACATACACAGGCCTTTTGCTAGTTTTAAAAAACTAATTTTTAATGATTTGTAGTGTTATTATTAAAAGGTTTTTTTTTTTTTAAAAAAGATGTTTGGTTGAAATGGTTAAAAAGCCTTCCATCACTAGACAGCATTCTTCCAACCTTATTCTTTCCAGCCTTATCTACCACTTGAAACCTCTGTGCTTGAATGTGTAGCAGAATTAAAACAAGTTGAGCAGTGATGTGTAGCTACTGTCTTCTTCAGCACTTGTACTGAGGTGACAAATGGTCAGAAGCTGCACTATACTGTACTTTAAGGGAGAGTCTAATCCTTGGCATAACAGTACAATTTTGACTTAGTCCTCTACAGACTCCGGGACACATTGTGGTTCTCAAAGAGAGGCAGCAAAAACACCTGTAAAAGAGACACGACCACTAGGAAGGACCTGAGTGGCGGATGTCTTTCAATCAATTAAGACTATTATTTTGCAGCCTTTGGGAGAGATCATTAGAGACAAATAAGGAGGCCAGATTCTTTGTGGACAGGAGAGTTTTGAAGTGCACTTGGCTTCCTTTTTAAAGTGCATTTCAGTTCAGAGAATGAGGAGACGATAAAACATTTTTTTCCTTTTTTTAGCTTATCTAACACAGAGTCTTACAAGAGATGTGTACAGAGAGCAGACAGCCTCTGTCACCTGGAGGGCTGCTGGAAAGGCCTGCTCTACATGTTTGTTCTCTTTTTGAGTCGAAGTGAGACATTTTTTGTTTGTTTTTCTGTGCTGGGTCTCGTTTCCTGGAGAAAGCTCCGGCTGTATGTGTGATATAGCAAACTGCAAGAAAATCAACAAAAGAAACAATTATTAACTTTGTTCCCTACCTGTGTAGGGTTACCCACAAAAAAAAATGATGAAAAGCTGCTCTTAATTGTGAAGGCTTTTCCAAAGGCACATTTTCATCACAGTATCCTGGAGAAATGTTTAAGCCTTTATTACTTAAGTGACGTGCAAAGGTCTTTCATTATCACATTATGAAGCAGCTGTTCCATCAGGTAATGTTATTCTGTCTTGCATAGGTTGGAAGCATAGTCATTGACCAAAAGTTGTAATTTATTTACAGGTAATGAGAAACTTAAACCTTTGTGACATTACTGCTAACACAGACATTCTAACAAGATTTCCAGATGTGACCGGAAGGTTATTTTCTGGCTATGTTATACAACATGCTATAGCAAAGTTTTTACAAAGTTACTGTAAGGGTATAGTGTGGTTTTGAACTATTGTACAACAACTATTTAACAGCTATTCTTAAATAAGATATTGTAAAACCACAAGATAATAGGTTGACATCTCTTATACTCTTATATTTTGGCTGTGACAACCTGTAAAATAATATATTGATGATATCAACTGTAGTTTAAACATTTGCATTGCTTATGTTTATATACTAAGTTGCAAATATTTTAGCATTTTATCACAATCTTTAGTTAGTTGTGATATTGTAGATCACACAAAACAATCATGGGGAATAAACTACCTCTATCAAAACTCATAAATGCTTATTAAGTTACCAGTTCACAAAATGAACTATTGCAGCTTACACATCTGGTATTCTGCAAATATCCATGTAAATTATTTTCTGTGACACTGTGCACTGACACATAAAGGGACTAGATTTACAAATGTCCTGTTGTAAAAGAGGAATTAGAAGGCATTATCTCCCTCCAAATAAGCCTGTTTATCAATGTAACAAGATATTATAAAAGCCTAAAATGTAAATTGCGATCATCTGTTGTTGACAGTTACTACTTTTTTCCAAGTCCATTTTTCATCATTCTAAGCTGTTAAAGTAATTAATCTAGCTGTTAAATTGTTTGTTCTATTTTACTTTCCCGGACAAAATGTTTCCAGAAGGCATTACTATAGCTGAAATCCAGTGCAATCTGAATGGGGCATTTTTTACCTTTTGTGAAGGATTTCCTAAAACCTATTAATTTTATTGGTTGCTTTTTCACACTTTGACTAAGATGAAAGTAGATACTGATTAAATTGGTTACCTTAAAATTAATTTGACTGATTTGTGTGAAAATCTGATGTGCTCTTCCAAACCCTAGAATTAGTTTGAAAGGGATTCTTTTGCATCTGAAACATGACAGTTTGAAGTTCTAAATTTCCCATGCTTCCTATCAAACTCTTGAATTTGAATTAAATGCCAAATCAAGCTTAGTCTCCAGCAGGGATTAACACCAAAGCAGGTACTCACATAAGTGCAATGTGGTACTCTCACTTTACAGGGGTTTGGATCAGACTGGCAGGGGGCTGTTCAGGTCAGGGTTGGAATGAAATTTAGAAGGCTACCAGATTAAGCTCTCAGCACCTCCTTGCCCTCCGCCTCACTATAGCCACTGCCTGTCACCTCTTATGAGTACTAAATTCACAAGCATGGACAGAATTGAACTTGATTAATTGAACTTGGTGCCTTATAGCAGAATTCTCCTTTCTGACTGAGACACACAGCAGGCTTAATACAAGCATACAAAATGTAGCAGAGTTTGCACTCACCCCATGCACAAAAGACTGCTGATGTCCCTGCTGGACAAGATTTCCCTATTTAGAACACCTGAATCATTATCTCCTCAGTGACTTACACATCACCTGAATAAACTCCTTCTCAATGTCCCGTTGCTTCCAATGGGCCAGGGGATTGGACAAAAACAAATCTTTAACCTTTCAAAAGATAGTTGCTCGATCTGTGTCACAGGCCACATCACTGGTACTGTACCTCTCAGATCCTATAAAACACTATTTTGTGATTCTAGATAATGGTCGCAGATTACAGAAATCTCCAAAAACTCTCCTACGAGTGTCTGTACTCACTGAATCCCAGTCATGGCAGAATGTTGTTATCAAATCCCAACCTCAAGGAGGCCTTGTAAGACAGTCTCAGAATGAAAAGAATACAGCAATCTGCAACTAAAGACCTAAATGAAAAAGGTCGAAACAACCTTATACTTTTATTAAAAGCTAGGAATTTTGGTTTCAGTGGATTAAAAAAGGTTAAAGTCTGAGAAGTTGAAAGACTGGGGAAAAAGCTTATCCAATGAAAGAATTTCACATTTTTTCGGTTGTGAACCATGACACAGTCTGTAGGCCACAGACAGGCCCTGGTCGAGCTAGGCAGTCCCCTGCTGTCTCCAGCATTAATGCGCACCACTGATATCACTAGTTTTCAGATTCTCCCATATGTCAAATCTGCAGCCACATTAACCAAACATACTGTATGTGACCTTCATGACAGAAGAAGGAGCACTTTTAGTCAATATGCAGGAATTCATGTAGCTACTTTAAAATTTACTTTGATCATTTCAGAGATGTTGTTCTCAACAGGTGCTCTCTTTCTCCACATCAGTCTTAAAATCGATTCCCTTTTTTTCAGGTGGGTAATGGAAAAAAAAGGTTTCTGCTGTTTAAAAGTATACAGATCTACAGTACATGAATTCTATACAAGGGGCAATCAAAAGAAAAAAAGTCATAGGTCTCACTTATAACTTAAAAACAAGCCCACCGTGAAAGTGCGTATGGTGTTAAAAACTCCTATTTTAAAAGCATAAAAACATTAGTGCTCTATTATCATGTATCCACAGGCAAATTGGTTATTTATTGATCATACTGAGTGGTATTAGTACTGTGAGAATGGGGAAAAACACAGGTTTTACCCTTCAAAATGTATACTCAGCCTAAAGAACTAGAATTAATTTTTCAGAAACAAATTAATCAAGTCATGTTATTGATACGTTATGTCAAAAAAGGCATATTTTATGATTCTATGCATGTTACATGTTCGATATTACATTTTTAAATCTACACATATCAGTGGTATTTACAGTATGATATCTACTTTGACTTCTATGTGAAGGCCAGGATTTTTCTACTTAACGGGCATTACTGTTATGCCATTTTTTTCATTGGTTGTGGTTGAGGGGATCCCCATTACCTACAGTATAAAGCGCTTTGAGTGGAGTGTCCAGAAAAGTGCTGTATACAGTAAGTGTAAGCAATTATTATTATTATTATTAAATATCATTTTAACATTCATATTCTCTACTGGATTGCTGCGCCTCCAGCACCATTAGCACCTCTGTATGTGCCTGCTTTAGAAAGCTACATCTCTACTCCAAAACCATTTCGCAGTCAGTTCTTGGAAACGGACTGTGAGTTTTTCTTGAATATGTCTTTGCATCACTCAGCATTTTAATATGCTGGTTCAGGTCTCAGAATTCATCTCTAACTAAAACATTCGCAAGGCAACAGGTCCTGCTTCACTTAGGCCAATTAGTTCCATGGGTATGGATATAACAGGCCCCTTAATTGGAGCTGTACGAGCCAAGAAGCCAATTAAAGTCCTGAAGTACATACAGTAAGCCAAAGCTATTGCTGATGCCTGTGTGAGTATTAAGGTGCTGCCACAGCCTTTCACTTATCTTTTATTCCTCACCGGAGTTGTCTGAAGAGAGATACAGATTTTTATTTCCATCTGAGCTGCTCAGACAGCACCTGACCACGTTATTAATACCTGGTCAGTGAAGCAGAGTTGCCAGAATTTTGCTGAAAAACTTTCTGAAGTTGCTAAAGCAGTTCTGCGTGAACTTTTGGGGGGTAAGTTGAAGGATTTCACAAAACCTGAACCGGTCTGTATTTTTTGTGCTACAGCAAAACTTCTTAAAATCAACCAGAAAGGAAAGTGGATTTTATAATAAAAGGGCCAGAATATCATTAAAGTCCTCAGAGTTACATTAAAATTAGATTACTGTAATGTGGACAGCAAATATCCAACAAATCTGTACACCAGTTACTCAAATTCCCATTACAGTTG